TATTAGGGGGTTTTCCCTCCAACAGTGATGAATCCCGACTAGAAGGGGACCCCCCCTATTAATCAATCAGCGGTTTGTTAATCCGGGGTTAACATGAGTAGACTTGGATGATGCTTTTGGACTCCTTGACGCTGGCCGCTTTTTCAAGATGGAACACAAGGAATTGGCGCTGCCCGCGGGATTTTGGAGAGATAGGGGCCAGGGCGTTTTCAGTGGACTTGCCTGCGCAGGCCAGAGGAATCAGTGGAATCAGCTTCTGGCAGTTCCTGCCTGGCTCCCAGCGCGCTGTGAGTGCCGAGCAGGGCTGGTGGAAGAGGCTCTTGATGGCGATGGCTGTGAAAACAGAAGCTTTCTCGAACTTCTATCTTCCAGCATTTTCTGGGGTAGACTTAGGCTACATTTTACATTTTACCAGTGACTCCATGTCAAGCAAACAATAAAATATGCATTCTATATCTGGGCCTAACCCTAGTCATGTTTCAATCTTGGTTGTATCGAAGGGCACGAAATCCTCGCAAATCCATGGGAGAAAGAAGGGTGGCAAGGGAAGACCTCATGCGCGAGCCCCTGTGTGATATGGGCCCCTTTTGTGCAGCGTGCCTAGTTTGTATCTCCCTCTCTCTGCACCGTGTCGAAGGCACCTGCTGGAGCCTGCTGTGTGCAGCTCAGTCACTTACCCATCGCAATGGGCTTTCCGCTTTTCCCTTCCTGAGGTGCAGAGGGACGAAGCTCAGGCGGAGAGTTTGAGGGAGAGAAGGCATCCGCCAAAGAAAACTTCTGTATTGTGGGTGCCATTTAACAGAGGTGGTTGGATGAAAAGTGGGAATCAGATGCTTGGCCTGGGACGGGTGCACGGGTGGGTTTGAAGGCTTTTGGGGAACCGGTGTGCCGCAGGACACGCTGTCGCTCTGGGCAAGACGATGGTTCATGCCATGTCTGCCACTTGCATGATTTTCAAGACCTAGGCCAGGGCCCTTGGATTTCCCTGGATCCATCAAGCATGATATGAGCAACGGTCAATATTGACTGTCATTTGGGTTCTCACCAACAAGAACTACTCAGCAACATCCCGTGACCCTTGGGCCACACAATAAATATCGAGCGTTGCTCATATCCTTGGCGAATTCAACTGAAGCTGTTGGGATTATGTTCGAAGGGGAAATCAATGACCCGTGAGAACGCATAGCCTGACGCTTTGCTGAAACGTAGCTTTGCACGAGGGCTGCTCCAAAATGATTTGTGAGGGCTGTTTGCACGAATCCTTTGGATGCCAGTCCTGTCGATTGGACCCGACTGGGTCGCCGTTGAACAATTTTCACCAGGGCACCGCCCCAGCATTTAATGACAGCCGCCAACGGGCGAATTGTGCATGAATCCTAGATTTGCACCTTTAGCATGCCCGTCAGTAGTCGGATGCTGCTGACCCGATCGCGCATTCTCAGAAAACGCTGCCTATGGCACTTGACGAGGAGGGCACCACTTCGCGGACCAACCGGTGTGGTTGATGTCGTCGCACTGATGGAGTTCGGTGATGCCAGCTTCGAGCTGCAACGCCCAAATAACTTTGGGCTTGCAGTTGGCGGCATATTTCTGCCAACACTTCCAGAGCTCTCTCGCACTTGATTGCACTGTTGCCCTGTTGCACTGCCTCAATGCTAGCAACTGCAAGCCCTGTGTACAAATGGTTGTGGCTCAGACCCTGGGGTAAGGTGTGCGATGGGAAAAGATGCTGTACTGCGATTGCGCACAGCGAAGAGCTTCGCCGTCCCATGCTTGTGGTTTGCTTGGTTAGCAAAACATGAGCGCAGGCAGTTGTTTCGGCGATGCCAATGGCTCAAGTGTGGTCCGGCTATGATCTCAGCAGGATCGCCCGCCCATGCTTGGATATGTATATTATATTGATATGTATATATGATAATATATTCCCCTTGCATGCATTTGCGTAAAATGACCACCTGCTACATTTGCAAATGTAACGTTTTTTTGGCATTTTGATTAATTGGCCCCACATTTGGCAATTTTCTCAATGTAGCAGCATTTTTCTACAACATGCCATGGACCTGCACAACATGGGGCTACATTGGATCAAATGTCAAATTTGTTGTGTTTGTCGCGTTTCTTTGTTTGCCAGGCTACACAGGTCAGGCGCAGACCCTTTTTTCCTTGCCATTTACATTCCTTACTCGGAAACTCAGCTGTTTCATTATTGTTTAAGTCCGGTAAACCAACACTAAACTCAAGAAAGTCAAGTCAATAGGTTATCCCAAAGGTTCGAAACAGCGATCTGGAGCCAACCAATAGTTAAGACTATTCCCCGGCAGATAAATTATTGTTTGGGGGAGGGGGGGGGCGACCAAAGCCATTTTCGGGGTCCCCGCAAAAAGAGACACGCAAACTGCGGGTCAAACGCCTGCACTTAAGAAACCCTGGTGATGATGATTCCCCTCGAATTAAATACCAACAATGGTTTACCCATGGCTTCATACTATCGGACGAACTCCTGCATCACCTGAGAAACCATAGAATGATGATCCCCTTGTAAATACCAACGCACAGTGGTTTCAACCATGGTTTTTCAAGTGGTGCGGTCTCGGATTTCGTCCATCCACAGTGGTAAGAAACGGATTTCGTCCATCCGCTTGTTGAGTTCCCGGGTGGCCCTCCGGCTGCCCAGCGTGGCCAGGCACCATGATGCGCGTCGCTCGCCATCTTAGGCCGCAGGTGCGGGTTGGAGATTTGCGTGTGTGTGTGTGTGTGTCTGCATGAGATACACATATTCTAGCAAACACACATATATATATATATGAGCGTCTGTCAAAACCTCTGGAAGACCAATATGTAAAGGGCTGGACATGACATACCAACATGTGCAGTAGAACGTGCCAAAAGCATGCGAAACGATAGGGTTACAGATTTCCTTTGCTACACTTGTACTGCAAAGTTGCGACTTTCGAGCCGGAGCTGCCAAAGTGCACTTCCTTTAATACACTTGTACTGAGAAGTTGCGACTTTCGAGCCGGAGCTGCCAAAGTGTACTTCCTTTACTACACTTGTACTGAAGCTGCGACTTTTAATGCAACGCGCAAAACCCTGTAAAACGATAGCGTTACAACAAAAAAGCGATATCCTCTACCCGATGTTCTTTGGCTATACAAGAGGTTTCGCAAGTTGCTCATATGCATGATGTATATATGTATATGCGTGTGTTCAATCCCCCTCCCTGTGCCCTAGTTTTTGTGCCGTTTGGGATGATGAATCTAGAATCTAAAGATTAAGTTTCTCGAACTTCCCATTTTGGGCCCCCAAAACCTGACAACATGGAGCCCGGAGTCCTTCCATTTTGAATATAGTTTAGTACGGATAGTGTTTTCCAAACTTGTTTTTATTTTCAAACATAACTTAAATAAAGAAACCCTTTCTAAATAGGAGTTACATGAAAACGTAAACATAATATCCGGTACATTCCAGTTTGTCTAATTATGGACTTAAAAGCGGTTCCACTGGATCGCTAAGCACTTGAAAGTATTTTACCACTAAGACTGCACAGAATCTTTCCTGAGCATCGTCAATCCTGGCCACACCCAAACAACATTGAAGTTCTTCAAGCACTTGACAGTGCTTTTCCACCGGACCGAGGAGTCAAAAGTGAGGATTGCACAGGCAACAACTTTCCTGAGAACCATCAATCCTGGCCAGCCCCGAGAAACTTTCAGGTCGGGCTAGCCCCCAAAAACTTTCAAGTTGCTCTAAAAGCTCGAAAGTATTTCACCACTGGATTGAATATTCAAGATTGACATCTTTTCCGAGAATCTTAAACCCAGAAACTTGCAGAAATGCATATCACTGCAGATGAGTGCGCATACTTGGTTGCAGAAGTATTGAACAATATTGAACACCTAGAGTATTGGGACAACCCTGGAATTTCAAAAGAAATGTTTAAACATTGCGGGATTCAAGATTCAAAATTCCCGCAAGTAATTTTCTCAGATTCTTGAAGCTTGAATCCCAATTTTTATTCCAGGATTGTCCCAATACTTTGAGATAGATGCAGACTCTGTCAGGTGGCAGATGTTGATATCCTTGCTTACATGACATATGTATGCACACATATATGCATATGCCCCCCCCTGTGCCACACAATCAACGAGGCAAAAAAGGCATAAAACACTGGAAGAATACAGCTCAAGCTCACCAAACCAGAGTCCAAGGAGGGGGTTATAACATGTAAATATCTATACACATATTATAGCGCATCCGTGCGGATCGCATGTTTTTGTTTTTGTTTCTCTCTTTGTCTAAAGATACGTATCATTACGTATCCATACACATGCCAATCCAACAAGAGGTGTGTTTGCTACTAGCACATCTTGTGAGGCATGGCATCGGGCGCGCTGCTTCTCCACAGATCTGAAGCGCACCTTGACCTATGAGGCGAAGGGCTGATGTGACCATTGGCACTTGGCCTTTTAGATGGAATCATGAGTTTGTTTTGATTTCCTTCCTCTTGCAGCCTGTCCACTTCCATTGCTGGAAAGAGGTTGGACATTCAAAAAGACAAGACACGACGCAGACCTGTCGATCCATTTGTGCGAAAAGGTGGGCTTGTTGTTCATGCTTAGCTTTCGCTTGGAAGACCTCCCGAAGAGCAACATGCCAGCAACCCTCTGTTGTGGTTTCCATGTCATTTTGGGTCAATCACTAAAGCTGCGCGGCATTATCTATTGGAGAGTGCAGAGTGATACTATTGTTTTGTTTTTCCAGATATGAGCCAAGGCAGCAATACGATTAGCGCGGACACATCACAGCCGGGACAGCATTACTGTCAACCGCTCTGAAGGAAGACAGTCTTACACCCCCCAATATAACAACTCTGAAAGCCGCAAATGTTGAGGATGCAGGTAAACAAGCAGCTTCAGGGAGTTTGCTCATCGCAAGTTACTGAGAGGTTGTCACTCTGCGCCGTTGCTCTCCGGCAGGAACACACGAAGGAGGGCGGCAAGATGGTGGACTTTGCAGGCTGCCCCGGGATGGTAGACTTCCCTTTTTTGGTGACCGCTTTGAGGAGAGGGCCAGCAGTTATGGCCGGCAAGGTCCTTTTTAATCCTTGCTTGCGGCGCAAAGGCACAAACAGATCTCCTTCCGATGAAAAGAGCTGCTGCAGTTTGCGACTCGCATCTTTATGCATTTCATGCTTTGAAGTTTGCATTTGGTTTGCAGCGTCGCACTCACCCAAGTACTCTGGCCGGTTGAGAGCTCCATCTCAGCGCAGGCTACGCTATGCCAGTGCAGTACGAAGCGAAAGGAAGCAAGCACGCACTCAGCATCATCGATTCGACGAAATGGACTCGAAGCTTGGCCGGCAGCTGCTGCGGGATTAGGGGAGTCAGCTTTTGCGCCCGAAAGAAGCAAGATGCAGCTTGTGGATGATTTGGAATTGCGGCTTGTGATGCCAAGGAGAGAGCGCTTCTCTCTTTGACGTGAGCCACATGTGCAGTATCAGGCAGGCATCTCGGCATATCCCTTGATTTTGCCAGGGTCGGCCGCATTTGCGTGGATCTGAGAGAGTTGCCTCGCTGCCAGGTGGACTGGAAAGGACGCCTTCGACTTTGTGGAGAGGGTGACTACTGCAGATGTCTACGGACCCTTGAGGGTTGAATCTCAGCAACAACCTATGACATGGAAACTGAATGCTCGCTGAAGATATGGCTGTGGGAATGGAACCCTGGGAAGAGGAAACATGGACAGAATTCTGGGGTCCATGGTTTAATTTTGACCCACACCCATATGGCATGTTACGGGATCCGCCAGGTGTTACTTTGAACACGGCATCCCGGCCAGGACTCCCACCGATGACCGGGTCGCTCAGCGTCATCACCAACGAGCGCGGCGGTGTCATTGATGATACCTTGGCCCCGCCCTTGTGCCATAGCTCCACCGGCCGAAATCAAGTGGCCGTGGGTCAAAACCAACGCATCCCATTTTGGTTGGTAGGTGAATTCACCACCCATTTTAGGACCTATTTTAGTGGGGATTGGGATGTTCACCGGGGGTACGGGGTTCTGACCCATGGCCAAGTCGTCGTGAGAAGGGACTTTACAAGCCTTTGCCTGGCCGATGAACACATTTGCAGGGAATATGAGGCAGGTGGTTTGGTTGGTCATGGCCGACACTGGACTGACTCGATCTGTGGTCAACCAGCCTTCAGGTCACAAAGTGCAACTCCAAGGAGCATGGGGAACACGTGTACCAGGTGAGCAATGCACGGAATTGTGCGGGTTGTCATGCCAGCTGCTTTCAAGACCTGGTCCGCCTGTACCTTTTTTTCCGCAGATAGCTGAAAGCCAGAAGGGGTTCTTACGTCTAAAGAGGGGCAGGCTGTTTTGTGAGTTCGGGCCAGGTTGGTGCTGCAGGTGCTGGTCAGGGTGCTGTTTGGGGCAGTGCCTCTTGCAAAAAAGTCGAGGTGCTGCTGGCGGTGCTTGTTTGGGGGTGCCGGTCCGGGCACTATTTTGAATGCTAGCCATTCTGACGCGCTCAAGATACGGTGGCAGTTGGTTTTGGTGAATTTTAGTATGCAGGCAGGGTGCTGCTGTGGGTGCTGCTCAGGGTGCTGTCTGGTGCTCAGGGTGGTGTGGTTGTTGCTGGCGGTGCTCGTTTGGTGATGCAGTCGGTCAAGGTGCCGGTCAGGGTGCCGGTCAGGGTGCTGGTCGGGGTGCTGGTCGGGGTCCTGGTCGGGATGCTGGTCGGGTGCTGGTCAGGGCGCTGCTGTTGTAATCTCCCATGCCATTTGGGGTCTATGCTGGCATGATGTTCTATATGAGTACAAGACAAGGGAATAATATGGCAAGCGTGATGCTAAGAAGCTGGCCTTACATCTTGCAAGTGCCAACTCAGCACCTTGCTGTTGGCAGGTGGTGAACGCGGGCTGCGCGCCTAAAGACCTGAAGCACTTTGAGGAGGAGCTGGGCAAGTTTGGTGGCGATGTGAAAATGGAGGCAGGACTTTTGGAGTGGCAGTCACTTGAGTGCGGTTTCGTTCAGTTCGTGAGGTCGGTATGTCACTAAATCTGATTGCCTTGAAGGGTGGCTGGTTCGGACTGGTTGATGGTACAAAGTATCAGGGCCAAACGCATCAGCGCCTCTGGCAACATGCTGCTTCCCTCACTCACGCAGGTGATGTGGGACAACCGTGGCCTTTTTGCCCTGCAAGGGCCAAAAGCAATGGAGGCAGGCCACATTGTGTGAGGTTGAGGGATCGACTCTGCTGCCCGCTGCCCCGATGGCGACCGGTGGGGTGTGTCTTTTTTTTTGGGGGGTACCCTTTTTTTGGAGAGGCCTTATACGTGCTTTTTGGTGGAAACCTAAAAAAAGAAAGAAGCCAACTGAGGTCCATTTTTCGATTTTCGGACCGATCCGAAGCTTTTGAGCGGCAGGTGTTGGAGCGCATCAGCTCCACCAACTTGAAGTCGGTGCCCTTCGGTCAGTGCCTCTGGATGACGCTGGAAGGCCCCGCACGGAAAACCAAAACGCGGATGCCTGTGCACATGGGACTTGTGAACAAACACTTCTTGGGTATAGTTCGGAACCGTTTGTAGCGAGACGTTTTTGGCTGAGTTTCTGCAACCAGCCAAGCTGTCAAGCGAAAATCTCTGGCAGTACCGTCTGGGTTGTCTTCTTATCGAAGGATTGGTCGTTTGACTTGGCTTGTTACACATCACCGGGTGGTGGTTGGAGAAGGTGCTTAAAAACAAAAGACTCAGGGAAGATCATTGGATCAAGGCGTCATTCGATCAAAACGTTTCTTTTCCTTTAAGGAGTTGGGGGGGGGTCGATTAGTCAATTGTCTACGTCCACTTCGCTATGCTTGGTTTGACAGGGAATGTACATTCGGAACACGGCATCTCCCTTTAAGTATCACTGATGCTGGGAACACACTATGGGAATCTGATATGCAAGGACTCAGCAAAGACATTTTTCGCCTGTCTTCTCGAGGGTCCCCTTTTAACGGGTGGTTTTCAAAAGGAAGCCCAAGAGGAACGCCGAAGTTCCAGGTTGGGGATTTTGGGGGGTCCCTGAAAAAAAGAGAGGGCGCCCATCTGCAGCCTTAAACCGAGGCCATTTTGACACGTGTCCAAATCCTAAAGGGACACACGTTCATCAGGGGTCGATCCCTATATTTCCCTTTTTGGCTGTTTGATTTTCATCACCTGTTTGGCCCAAGGTGAGTATCCCTTGCTGATGTTTTAAGCCCTGGCCATCTGCAGCCCAGTCCGGGAATTTCCGGCACGGGCCGAGCGAGCATCGAGCGGCGAGCCCGGCCGGGCCCCGGGTACTCGAGATCGGGGGTCGGGCCAGGTGCGGAGTGCCTGGTCGCCCGGCCGGATGCCCCAGAGCCCAAGAGAGGCGAAATGGGATGGTCGTTGCCCAAAGGCCGGAGGGCCAGGTCTTGTTTTTTTGAAGACCGGAGGGCCATGTCTTTTTTTGTTTTTTTGTTTGCTTTGTTTTCTTTCCGTTTTTAAAGACTTGAAACCACTGCAAGAGTGGTGGGTGGACATGTCCAAAGGGTCCCCAAATGAAGAAATTCATGCCCAAATAGGTTTGACGAATCGTCTGGTCAGCTTGATGCGTGGCTCCTCTTTTGTCCCTGAAGTACACGCTGAATGGAGAGTGATTCGAGGAGTTCGTTGCGTCTCCATGGGTCGGGGTGCATGCTTCTTCACTGTGGATTTGGCGTGCATGCTACATGTATGGTTGATTGCACTATGGCCATGGGTCAAAATCCCATACCCCCAGTGAACATCCCAATCCCCACTAAAATGGACTAAAATAGGTGGTGCACCTACCCCAAACTGGTACCATTGGTTTTGATTTACAGCTTCACATCGTGGTCTCTGTTGGATCGCTACTCGGACGGCTAGGGGGGTTCTGTTTGGGGAGCAGGTGGTGGCGGGTGATTTTCGGGTGGTTTTGAAGCTGGGTCGGTGCTGGGATTGGTTGCGACCTGCAACAGTACCGTGTGTTTGCCGCTGAAAGGGCTACCCTGGCTGCAGAAGAACAAGCTTGGGGGGGCAGGTTACGGGAAGTTCACAGTGGACCATCCTTTGGCTGTTCGTGATAGTCATCCTGGAGGTTGTACAGATACAGTTTGCTCGTGCTCGGGAGATCTGTTGTTTGCTTCCACGAAAGGCTTGGATGACCTTTAGTCCAATGTTTGCGTTCCAGCTGGATTTGCAGTGATGAGAGATGACATTAGCGTCTTTTTTTGTGGTTCCAATTGTGGGTTGGGGCTTGTTTACGACATGCTTTTGGGAGCATGTTTGGTCACGCTTGTCAAAATCTTAAAAAGTTGGTTGCTCCGACTTGGTGCACCAAGTAGCTGACGGTCCATGCCGATTCCGGCTTTTCGACAGATGTGGCTACACCGGCGAGGATGGCTTTGAGGCGAAGCGTTTGGGCGATGACGGGAGCATGGGCCGTACGTGCTGGCTCCGTAGCAGCATGTGCAAAAGCTGTTACCGCTGCTTTGCTGGCTAGGCTTTCATGCAAACCATCCAAGTCAAACTTCTCATGTTGCCAAGGTGCCATTATAATAGACTCACTTCGTCAAGAGATGCAGAGCGTGGCATTAATTACACAACCTACTGTTGAACAGGGACCTCTTGTGCATGAGCAACACTGGCTATCCAAGGCCTCGTTCCACTCAAGCGAAGCGCTACGGCTCAAGCCCAATCTTCAGCCGTGAAAGGAAGGTCGCCAGCGCTGTTTTGAGATGTCGAAGACGGGCTCCGGTGCGGACCTCCGAAAGTTCATGGAGAAGCGGCTGGACCTGAAGCTTACGGCCAACCGACATGTGGTGGGCGTCCTGCGAGGCTACGACCAGTTCATGAACATCGTGCTGGACAACACCGTGGAGATTGTATCGCCAACGGAGAAGAACGAGATCGGCATGGTGGTCATCCGCGGAAACAGCATCATGATGTGGGAGTGCCTGGACAGGGTGAAGTGAGCTGTGGTTGCTGGCTCAAAGCTGCGCACAACACCAGGGCCAAAGCGACGATGCAGAGAAGCAGAGAAGCAAAATGCCTACGGAAGCATGCAATTTCCGCACTATGAGAGCAGTTTTGGCCATTTATGCCTGACAGGGATGGCAATGTGGCTTGTGATTTGCAGCAGCGCAAGAAGAAGAAAAAAGCGCAGCACACCGCATTGAGTTGCAAATGCTGTACACTTGCAGCTAGCTGCAACCTGGACAGTTGCCTACTTTCGTTGCCACTGTTTCCACAATCGGGTTCCTCAGAATGTGGAAACATCCCAAAAAATAGCTGGCCTTGAGTTTTCCGTTGACGAAAACAATTAGTTTGTATTACCCAACAACCCCGGACCCCCCCCCCCCGGCTGTGAACCACTTTGGAGCCTAGGGCAAAGACCCAAGCGGTTTCAGCTGTTGGGCAAAGAGGTACTGTCGAACAAAGACACACCCGCCGGTTTTTCTCATGCCTTCGAGATTGCCCAGGTTTTGGGCTATATTGGGACAGGTCAGAATGCTGTAATCTGGAAAGCCATGAAGCAGCTCAGTTTGTGGCCGGAACGTGCCAAAGGTTTCCCATGGACCAGGACTTGGTACATTGAAGCTCCTTCTTCACTCGCCAGAACACGTGTGTGTGTGTGTGTGTGTGTTTTTCGAGGTTACATTTTCAGATTGGTTTCAAGGGGGCAAGCTCAAAGGAAGACCATTTTGTGTGTCCGAGATGACAGCCAGCTACGCGAGTGGAACGAAGGCGCGCGTCAGGTCTTCGTGCCCGGCGACGCGGCGGTTCCGGTGTGGAGGCTCTTCACGGCGCAGCCAGAAGTGCGCCTGGCCGGGTCGCGCCGCCGCGCCTTCGGGAGCGAGATGGGTGCGGGATGGATGCCGGCGACGGGCAGAAACGGGGGCCGTTCTGCTCGGCTCATGCCCATGTCCCAAAAGATCGACCAAAGACGACTGGACATATTTTGAACGAGCCTCATAGCTTGCCACTCATTTTGGCAACTGATGAACGCCCACCAATCCAAGGTGTCACTCGAGACAGTGCAAGTGAATTGAAGCCCCGAGTATGAAGAGGTTTGGCAGCCAACAAAGCAGCAACTCACATTGACACGGGACGGCACTATACTTGCTGGTTCTCAGCAAGGAATGAGCATTGGAATGACCCTTATAAACCATCCAACTGGTGTGTATTTTTTGGGGATGTCTGGGTTTCCAAACATTCCCTACCTATCGCAAGCATGTCAACCGCTGGCCAGACTCGGAGCACGTGATTCCTTGCGGCTGGAAGCAGGCCTTTGCCTCTACGGCCCGTGGCTGAGTGGGGTCTTAGCGCCTGAGTCACGCCCTCAAAACCCGGCGAATTGGAGGGTAGTAAGGGACAACCCCAACCAGAAATGGGTGGGGCTGCCTTGTCGAGTCTTTACATGGTTCTGCGTCCCTGGGTAGACCAGCTTGTGCAAGTTTACGCGGACCGATGATGTGGCGTGCCCCGGCACGAACAACTTTTGGTCATGTTTGGTTGTACTCATCCCGATTTGCAGAGTGTTTGAAGCTTAAGAACTCCCCTCTTGGATGTCAATAGCACTCGGCCGCTAGGCCCTCAAAGCCAGCCAGTTTGATCCTCCAAAAAGAAGTGTTTTGAGAGGGATCCCCAGTTTTGACACTTCTTCTACCCCATTTTTACCCCATTCCCCACAGGGAAGGCCTGCAACGCATGGCAAACCGACGTCACTCGACGGGTGGCACTGTCGGCCACATTGTGCGAGCAGAGGCCATGAGCTGGATGAGGAGCCGGATTTTTTGGCGGTTGATGTGGACAGATGGTAGCAGAAGCCGCGACCAAGAGCGCCTTTATTTGTTTCTGGCGATGGGTGGTCCTGGCTATCAGTACCAGTGGGCATGAAACGAAAATGGTAAATTGTTAACATAGAGCATCCGCCGCCCTTGCAAAGCTGGCTGTGGGTGGTTCGGGTTATTCGCACCAGTGGGCATGCTACTCTTTTATTGTGGGAACATATATGACACGCAATGGCGTCTTCACTTTGCACAGGTGTCAAAGCGTCAAAGCACTTCTTCATTACGATAGTCCACGCGCAAACTCGAGTTTGAATGGATGTGCGACTTAGTCCTCGGAAGATGTGACCCATGTCCTTTCCATGTTGAACTCAGATAGAGTTTTGCAGGACACCAGCCCATGCGAGGCTGGCCTTAGCCGGGCCCTTGGTTCAGGAGTCGGAGGTGCAAGCGAGGAGAAGGACGTCAATCTGTCAAGATGATCAGATGTTCGTTGCGTGACAAGTAGCCAAGCAATGGGATGCATGTCCTCAAGCTTATGATGACATTGAAACACAGTGTTCAAGCCTTGACTCTTCTCCTCTCAACTTGGCCTCCGCTGCTGCACCTTGCTTGCTTCTACATCTTGGCCATGAAGACCTCCGTTGCTAGAATCTTACGGGTCCTTGGGAACTTTCAGACTGGACTCGTGGTTTGAGCGCACCAAAAGTTTTGAGTCACCCTTCAAGTACGAAGGAGCACTGGTGAGGCTTTGCCCAAGGACGTGCCTCTGAGAGCAGACACTTCAGTCCCACTCGTGGCAATCAATGATGAATCCAACTCCCCGACCGAAACTCTAGCGGTCTCATCTGATCAGAGCTCGACCCCAGCTCCAGAGACGCGCCGCGGCTCCATCATGAGCTGAGCTCTACCCCATCTGTCGTGCCTATCATGGCAATGTGGCGAGAGTGGCTGTGTCTGAGGCTGGGTTGTGCCGAAGGCACGGCGTGAGGGCGCCAAAAACAAGTTCATCGGAAGCCGGGCCCTTGGGACGCAGATGTTCCTGTCTGCACCAACGGATTGCACAGCACCCTGCTTTGCTGCTCAGGTGATGAAATTTTGGCCCAGCTGGCGGACAAATCGCGATACAAGAGGCGCCTTCTGGTCGGCTTTCTCTTTGGTTTTCCTTCTTTGCAGGACAAATGCACATGAAAGAGCAACTTCGAAGTGTGATGATGTCCGATGCTGGCTTGCCGCTGCTTACAAAGGTTGGCCGGGGCAAACCAGCTCACAGGATATACACGCAGAAAACACAACTGTTGGTTACTTTTCCCCTAGCCGTTTGCAGTTTCACACTTGTTTGGGTAAAGCTGAAGCGACTGCAAGGCTTCGCGCTGGTCTGATGCCAGCCTCCGGCCCTCCGGCACGAGAAGGAGCTGACATCGAGACCATGGATGGCCAGCCAGTGGGCAAGGTGGGCCCATGCTTCGCTTTCTTGAGTCACTTTTTGGGCCATCCGCCCAAGTGAGGATATCGACCTAAGTAATTCAGTGCTCATGCTAGATTCCTGGCAAACTTGATTATCCACTGGGAAGAGGTTCAGGGGGCCAAGTCTCATCCAGGATCGATTCGGGCGACGTAGGTTACCAGCGGAAGCATGTCTCCTTGCTTGAAGAAGAACATCTCCATTGGCGCGGCGCTCAAATTACATGGCCATGCTGCAAGTGGCGCTCGTATCAGATATTACAGGCCGATGCTCTTTGAAGAGGACAAGACAGGTTTGTTTGTTTCTTTGCGCCTCTCTTTCTCTCTCTCTCTCTCTCTCTCTCTTTCTCTCTTCTCTGTCTGTCTCTTCGTTTACATAGCTCCTTTCCACCCTCTCAATCGTTCTTGTTAGCTCTCCGTGTCTTTGTCTCTCCATGTTTCTCGCTTTATTGTTTTCGTTGTGTCTCTGGGATCCTATCCTCTTTCTCTCTGTTTCCCTTTTATCTTGTTCTTGTCTTTGCTTTCTCTTTGACTCCTCTGCTCTTCTTCTCTTTGACTTCTCTGACCCGGCTCAACTTTTTCTTGTTCTCTTTCTCTCTATCTCGCTCTCTCTCGCTCTCTCTCTCTCTCGCTCTTTGTCTCTGTGTTTCTTTCACTTGCTTTGTCTGTTGCTCTGTCTCTCTCCCTCTATATTGTCCTCCCCCGTGTTAGATCAGGAATGGCTTGTAGAATCTTCCGCTACGCAAATTAGCAGACACAGCTTGGTTCTGCCAGAGTTTCTGCGCCAATAAGTCGCAAGTCAGGGGGTTGGCAGACCTCTTAATGGATTTGTTCTATTCCGACTTATACATTGCAGCCAAATGGTCTATCTAGGGAATTGTCGGGAGCATCCTGAAGTCGAGGAGGTTCTGTGGTGATGCGCAGGGTGATGTGACACAACTTATGTCGCAGTTGGCTTATGCCTTTGGGCACTGCTACGAACATATGTGGCTCTTGCGTGGGTCTTCACACAGAAGGATTCTTCGGACTTTCCGATTACACCCTGAGATTACACCCTAAAATAATTACCCAACACAATCCCAAATAACCCAACAGAACCAGGTTGTATCTCGAAATTGGCTGGAATAGGGTGATTCCCCAGAGTGGCGTACTCCCAGGGTGCAATAGGAAAGCCCTTTTCTCAGGTTACATCAACAAGCCCCACAACAAGCAGGGCACGGACCTGCAGGCGCCACCTGCTTCGGTGACGTAGTCCGCGCCAGACCCAAGACCCAAGGAGACGCATGAGACGCGTGAAACGCCTGGCAGGTGGTTGTCCGTGGCAAGCGCTATCCGGCCAAAGCCAGCGCCTAAGACCTCGCAAGCTGATGTCACGGTGCAATGAGCGAAGAGGGCGAGTCATTCTGCAATCTTTGCATGGGCCCTGAATGAGTCAAAAAGGTCCTAAATGAGTGAGTCAAAAGTGACCAGCGCCCATCATCTATCCACAACAATTTAGAAGAGTCAAGAGCTTTGGCTGCGGGTTTCTGGGCTTCATGGGATCCCCTTGGACAGGGTCGCTGGGTGCGGACACGTGGCCTGCGCCAGGTAGTCAAGATGCCCTTTGTCCCCACAAAGTACTACAAACCTTGAGATTCGCGTGCAACATCAGATGAGAGGCGCCATCTCTATTATGAATGCCCGCCCCTCTTTTCATCTTGTCTCTCGGCAAGTTTTGGGATGCTTGTCTGCTCTTTGTCATCACAGTCGTTTGCAGTCAAACACTTGGACCAGAGTTTTTTTCGGAGCTTCTCCCAAATCTTCGCATCTCAGCTCAACCGTAGGTGCAATCATAGGAAGTTTGCGTCCAAGTTTTCAGCGTGTAAAATGGGCTCGCTTGTGACATATGCAGCTTGCCGCTTGCTTGACCAGCCGTCGTAGCATGCAAGCAAGCGGGGCTTCCGCAGATTTTATCGCATATGTCGCCGATGTTCGCGCTTTTTCGCCGGGTTTTGCTCAAGTTCGGCAGGAAATCTTCAGATTTGTTTCCAAAGGTCACAAATCCCAACGCCACGTTGGCAAAACGACTCGGTTGTATCAGCCCAGCCGGACTCACGCGCCTCACGCGCCTCACGCACGGGATCGATCCGCGCCGGGCGGCTTTGGAGGCTTGGGATGCCGAACATCCAGATGGTGGTCTGTCTTTTTTGGAGTTGATACCCGTTTTTTGGTGGGTCGTTAAAGGGAAACCAACAGGAAGAATGAAGGCATTGTGGAGGGGTCCCCTAAAAACAAGACAAGCTCCCATATTTCGGCCAGCTGCGTGGCATGGTCGCCGCTGTCAAGCGAGGTTTTAGGGCCTGTGCCAGTTTGCACAAGGCCAACATGTGCCGGCACAAGCTGATGGCATCACCAAGGACGGTCAAACATATCCAAGGCGTGTGAAGCAAACGAGCACCGAATTAGCCTGCAGACGGCGTGGGAAGCGGATTCAGCAGCTTGAGGAAGGCGGCACATTGGAGAATGAGTGGCGAGAAGAAGTTTGGGATTTCAAGAAAAGCCAAATGGGCAGCAATCAACCAGACGGGTCCAGCATTTGAGCACCACCCATTTAGCACGCGCGCTTTTGGCGCCATGTTGCCTGATGAGTTCTCCCGCGTTTCGCCTGAACGCCGGGGACTCGACGAAGAAGATCCAATGCGAGGAGATGCCATGTGAGTCACAATCAAAACCCGGGTAATTGGAGGATATAGGGGACAATCCATGATAATCCCAGCCATATAAATGGGTGCAGCCGCCTCTTTAACTCTTTACATGGCTTTGGGGTCGACCATTTTCATGCGCGTTTTGATTCTGACCCATCTTGACAAGACTGGGGCAAAGGTCTTATGAATTTCCACTGGGGGTGTTCTTTGTAGGGTCTTTCGGATTGATCCCAAAAATTGGCGGAAAGCAACGGTTCAAAAATCGCCCCGTTGGGTGCACGAAGTGACCATTGGGTCTAATAGGAGTGTTTTTGTCTTCAGGCTGGGCACGCTGTTCCACCAAGGTTCTGTTGAGAAGCCTTCACGACGCTGCAGCAGGACGGGCCTAGCTTGTACCAACCGAGGCCCTTTCCGCCTGCCCCTTCAAATTCAGGATGGAAGTTCTTGCAAAAGGCGTTGCAACAAAAGGCCATTTGCCACGCGTGCATTTGTGTGTGTTCTTGCGCGTTTGTTTTTCTTGGCGTTCTAGCTAGAGCCAACCACATAAGTCCAGGATTCACGGCATCTCGAAGGAGGTTGCCTGTGTTGGATGAGACTTATTGGTTTTGGGGATGCCTGAATTACAAGGTGCCCTTTTGGTACACTTATTTGAGCCACACAGCCAAATCCGCCATGTTTCTAGGGGTACCTTCCCCATTCTTTCCAGGGATCCTTCTTTCTAGAAAACCTCCGCAAACCCAAGGAAAACGGATCCGGTTTTTGGAAAGAACGATGGTTGAAAGGAATGGAAAAGGAATCAACCCTAGATTGATGTTGACCCCATATTCCTCAACCAATTCCAGTTTATTAGTAGGGTGGATGGTTTGTGGCCCCAAAGTGGTCTGATTCCAACCCCTGGAAAAGGAATCAACCCCTAGAATTACGATCCCCTCAGGCAAGCGCCTGGACGCAGCCAGAGCTCTCAACGCCCAGCTCAGTGCCATGGTAGAACGGGCGAGACATGGCGAGTTGTTTCGGCGCAGAGGGATGGCCCTTCCGCGGGACTTCCACGAAACGAGTTGGCCGTGGGTTGCATAACCTATGGCTCCATTTAGGGTGGATGAAGATCCATTTGCCACCTATTTTTGATGTTCACCAGGGGTACAGGGTGTTGACCCACACTCATTTGGGACAGCCTTTGCCAAGGCATGCCTTGCACGTTCTGATCAGGGTTTTTGTATTGGAGGTTGCGCCTGAGCTGTCCAACTTTTTCGTCCCTCGGTGGAACACTGGCTTACTTCCTGGCGGCTGCCAGGTCTTTCCCCTGTGCAGTTGACACAAAGAGGTATCTGGTGGAAGCTGCATGGGGCGGTAGGATTGGCTCCAACAAGTTTTGGGCCAAGTCGCCTGCGCCAATGGATGCTGAGGTTCATCCCCAGATGGGGAACTGCTCCTCGCAGACTTTTTGCGTCGAGACGATGACTGGCAAGTGAGAGTGACAGCCGCCAAGGCTCGACATGCGCCCCCTTCCCCATTCTTCATGTCCTCCACTTTGGAATGGATTTGATGGCTACTTACAGTGGTTGTAATGGAGTTCTAGATTAGCAACCGTTCGTTTCTTGCGCACCAATAGTTCGTGGCCACCGGGCTGGTGATTTATCCTCTCAGAAGGCATCGAAGAGTGACTTGGCATTACCATGATCCCTATCATATGACCATAGTAGTTCCATTCATTGACTATTGATAGGTTGATGCATGATATATTAAATAAGCACATCATAACTCCGCGCTAGTCATCCCTACTGTGGATGGACGAAATCCTGCACCACCTAAGATGCTTGGCATGATGATTCCCCTGTAAATACCAACAGGCAATGGCTTCCTGCAGTTTCAAAGAGGTGCAGGATTGTTCCCATCCACAGTATCCATGGCATTTGCGACCTTGGCTAGCAGGCCCTTGGCGCGCTTAGCAGCTCTGCTCATGCCGAGCGGCTCCTTGCGGCGTTGGTGGCTGCGCTGGGTGATGTCAACTCCTTCGTGAGGCAGACAGATTTGGCTGGGGTCAAAACCAATGGGATCCCATTTTGGGGTATGTGCACCACCCATATTAGAACCGATTTTAGTGGTGATTGGGATGTTGACTGTGGGGGTACGATTTGGATTTTAGCAGTTTCGGCCGGGCCCCGGGTGGTGGCATTTTATGGATATCCAATTGGTTTGATTTTCAAGGGTGGAAACCCGCGATTTTGAGGGGGGCCAAGTACATAGCACATCAACCTCTCTGTCCCGTGTATGTAGCCGGCCTGTAAGCAGGGCCAGTTCCCTTGGGTCATGCAGTCATTGTTCTCAGCACCCGCTGTTGTCATTGAAAGAGTCACTTCAGGGAGCTACACGTGACAGTGACTAATCAGACCGATTCGGAAGATGCCGCATTGGAGAGTGAGGACTCCGAACATGGCGGTTGCAGTCGTGGCCTCCTTTCCTTGTTGAAGCCATTACCCACTTTGAGACATACCTAACCAGGGTTGTGGGATCAAGAGGTTTATCCCCACTTCTGTGATACTTTTGGGAATCTCCCTTTTTTTGTGGGGGTTAGTCTTTGGGAGGCCTTTTTGTTGTATCGCAGAAGTGTCACCTCCCGCAGCCCGAACCATTGCCATACTTTGTTTTGTTTCGTCGCGAGGGAAGCTGCAGCTGAAGCCTTGGGCCACTTTGCTGACAGCGCCTGGGTGGAGAGGGACTCGTCGACGGATGGGTGGTTCCTGTTAGCTTCCTTTCATCCCAGGTCCCTGGTTTTTGAACACACCCGTTTGGGTGTGTGGCTTTAAGGGAAACCAAAAGGACACCTACCATTTTTGGGCAGCAACATATGAATCAACTGATGTTGGCTTCAATTGCCTCGCCCCAGCAAGGCAATCACAATGTGATTTGGACATCGCTTAAGTGTGTCAGGAGTCTCAGAACCCTTCCCTGGTTCGAACCCTAACTTGCACTGTTTGCTCCTCACAGCTTTTCGGAGAGTTCCAGGAACGCTCCAAGCCGGCCCGAGGAATTCTGCAACCCCCGATTGGGTAGGGAAGTGAGCGACCGAGGCGCTCGGCCGGAGCACTCCGCAGCTCTGGAGGCCGCCAAGTGCTGCCTCAAAATGGTTGGTCTCCGTTGGGTTTCCCTTTAAAACCCACCAAGCAAGGGTTCCTCAAGACACCACACCCATGGGTGTGTTCAACAAGCGGGGGCCTGGGATGAAAGGAAGCCAACAGGCACCTCCTTCCATAGATCCCTGCGGCCTCGCAAAAAATGGGGGACTGTAGCTTGGAAGCGGACTTTGCGCCGGAGCTGTTTCAGGACTGGGCATGAAGCATGCATTGGTCCCCCACCTTCTTTTTTTTTAAGGGGGCATTGTGTACTGGCACGTTTTAGCGCACAATATTGGCTCAACTCCGTTCCATGCCTCAAAAGTTCATACCTGAGCGCGCCGCTAACATTTCGAGTGGTGCAAGGAAAGTACTTTTGAAGTTTGAGTTTCTTCGTGCATTCCAGCACTCGTGTCAGGCGGGAGGGGGATTTATTTCGAAGTTGCAGCTCACTTTCCAACACATGCATCGGGCTCATTTTCGAACGCATAGATTTCCAGGGTTGCGAAGTAGGGGTCAGTGGGCATGCGTGCCCGCCAGCCACACAGCACACAGGCACATGGGCATGCGCCAACCACACGAGCACACGGGCACATATCCAAATTGTGCTCTTTCAACGCAATCCTGAATCCTTCCCGCAGGTGACAGGGAGTTCCTGTTGATTTTCCTCCGGGGATGGAGGGTTACACCAGCCAAATGGTTGGTTTCGATGTATGATTTTCTCAAATTAGGGGACTCCCAGGCCGATACCAGGTGGTAGGGACTTGGAGGTACCTGGTTCACTTGTGGGTCCTGGATCTATTTTATAAGGTGAAACGATAGAGTTATGGAGGATTTCTGTGGATGTCCTGGTAGGAGTGTTGCAAGTAATTTCCCTGGAGGTGGCACGCAGTGGCCCTTTTCTCTGTTTCTGTTTATGAGAGTGAGCTTCGTTTCGGCCTTGAGAGAAATATAATATAGATTGTGTGAAGGTCAACGTGGTGCCAAAGCAACAAAACCCCCCGCCCAGACTGGCGGTTTTCCTGTTGAGTTCCGTTTGCACCAACCTCAAGAAGAGTACCCTCAAAACAAGACATGCCCATTATCCTTTCGAGTTCGCCCCCTACCTTGAGGGGGAGGGGGGGTGGGGGGTCCCCCAATTCTTTGCAGGGAGAATGGAACTATACGTGGAATTCCAGGCGTCACCCCCCACTCCCCAAGGGGGGTGGGGGCAGATTTAGCGCCGCATCCGTCTTGAACATGTCATGGGTACGTTCTGCACATTTAAATACAACCATAATTTGTACTCCCCGGAAACTCTTTTGGGGCCCCATGTTCAGAGTTATGTGAATCTGAAGGGGAGAATTCACTTTCATGCAAGCATGTCAGCATGTACGCACGCGTGCGTGCACAGGTGGACGTACTGCATGTGTGTAGACTTGTGCAGGTGTGTATTGATAGTGGTATTGCACACGTTTACATGTTTACTTTCGATTCAACATTTGCAACACAATTCAACATATGTTTGTGCGCACATGTTTCATGTTGGTCGCAATGCACGATGTGTTGATACAGTGAGTTGCAAGCACGTGCATCATGCCGGGCAGAACCCTCACCTCCAACCTGTTGCCACCTGAACGCTCAGCATGCGAAGGGCAAGACAGGGTTGCTTCATTGGATGTTGGACAACGTGGTCCTAAGGGCCAAGCATGACATAGCAATGTTTTCTGCTGAATGCCTGTGTACTGCTTCTTCTAGGGGTGCACTTCCCTATTCTTTTTCAGCCGCTTCTTTCCAGAAAACCTGCTGGCTTTCGACCAGAAGGATGCTTTGAGCAGAAAGGGGATAGGCCATGCGTCATGTCAGGGTATGGATCAAAGTTAAACCACCAGGGGACCGCAGGTTTTGGTCCATGGCTCCACTTGCCAGGGTTCCATTTGGGGTACCTATTTTTGAACCACAGCCATGTGGCAACTGCCTTGAGCAGTCAGGCCATCCTGCGCTATGACCGCGCCTCCGGTGCGCGCAGCGCAGCCGCCCGCGCCATCGGGAGCCCGCGGGGATCGAAACCGCTCGAAACGGCTCGAAGCGAAACGTCAACGAGCTCCACCCATGGTGGCTGGGGCCCCCTACTGTATCGATTCAGCCGTAGCACAACCAGAGCCCCAGCTCATAGACTGGAGAACATGGCGTACTTCACAAGGCATTTTTAAGTTTGTCCTGCAAAACTGGAGCTGCTATGCTCAGCATTCCACGAGAGCCCTGTCAAAGCTTGCAATCGGACGGACAATCGAGTTTTCAGAGAATCGTTTCTTTTTTCATCTTTTTGTTTTTGAGCTAGCCAAGGTATGGCCAGCCCTGTTAGCATGATACTTGTGCAGGAAGCTGGCTGCTTGTGGCAGAGACTACAGGAGCACCACGGCAGAGATGTCAAGTGGGCGACTAGCAAACTCAAGACCAAATGGCTGGACAAGCCCTTTGGATATAACTGCTCTGCAAGACAGCTTTGCTTTCCACGAGATATTGTACTTCCTTGCGCAAGATTTGTTGAAGCTTTGCGGCAGCTGGCAAAATGATGCTTGCGCTCAAGCACTTGCCCCAGGTCAATCTTATGCAGAAGTGAGATTGAATGGATACAGAGGTGCCATGTTGCTTGGATGTTAGGACTTTATTTTTTAGCCAACTAATGGGGGATAAGAATCAGTTTGTGGATCCAGTTTTGAAACCGAGTGGAGTGGCGGGCAACGGCGCGACAGCAGACAAGCACCTTGACAAAGCTTCGCCCAGGCAGCGCCAGCCTTGCTGCAGCCCTGGAAGATGAGGCTTGGCAGGCCTGGATTCTCATACACCTGCATTTGGCTGTGGCTCAAAACCAATGGTACCATTTTGGGGTAGGTGCGCCACCCATTCTAGTCTATTTTAGTGGGGATTGGGATGGGTTTTTGACCCATGGCCATTTGATGTCCAAACACCAAGATTAGCAGATTGAAACACACACACACACATACGCATGTTCTCTCTTCTTGTTCCGCCAAGTTTCTCTTTGGCGACAACTCGCAATGTGCCAAGAATCCATTCATGTGAATGTTGCTGAGTCACTGAGTCACTGAGGGGCTGCCAAGCAAAGGCTTCACCCTTCTCGCGCGCCCGTCTTGGGGCCCGCGCTGAGGTTCGATGGTCCGCCGCAGCAGCATTGGCAGCCTTGGGCCATTGCGCTGAGCCGCAGGCCGATATAACAAATGCACAAGGGGGGCTATGTGACTAGCCAGGCAGCAAGGCGCAATCGAATCGTTTTGATACAAGGAATTCCCTGCTGGAGAGGACATGCCGAGGATCGCACTTCGAGTAAACAAAACGTGGGTGGCACGTGCTGCAGGTACCAGCTCTCGCGTCAGTGCTTGGCAAAGATCCAGCCTGGTTAGTGAGGCATGCAGCAGCTGCGACTTTGATGCAAAGCTCTCCGGGATTTGGCACGAGAGGTTATCCCAGGACTTCTGCGGTTTGACAAGTGCTTTGGTGACGCTTCGCTCCGCTTTGTTTGCTTGTCACTTTGTTTGCTGGAGGTCCTCGGGCTCCCTTTTTTTTTCACCCTTCATACTTGTTTTTTCAACCCTTCCTTTGTTTTTAACCCTCCGACCTTTTTGGAACCTCTCAACGGGGACCTTGTTTTTCTAACCCTCAGGAGTCCTTTTTGTTCCAACCCTTGAAATTGTTCTTTTCACCCTCAACCTTGCTTTTTTCACCCCGAACCTTTCTTTTTTCACCCTCCCCCCTGCCTTTTTCACCCTCGGCCCTGGTTTTGTTAACCCTCAAACTTTGGTTTGGCGCACTGGACAGCAGCTTTGGTGTGTAACAGGCAGAAGTTGTTCAATTTCTTATTGGTTTTTTGTCCTCGACCTTGCTTTCATCATCCCCGACTGTTTTTTACATCAGCGGATTGAGTTAATCAGGGCAGTTTCATGGGAAGATAACGATGGATCACGAGTCACTTAGACAACGGGCTCAACGGTTGCTCTGGTTATTGGTCCTATGTTCCTCGCCGCGTTGCTGTTTTTAGTTGGAGTTGTGAGCTTATGGCCCCATCCCACCTCTTGTAACTTCTCCTCAATAATGCTTACCGTAGTTTCAGCCTTGCTTCTTTGTATCTTGAGTTCAAGTGAAGTTGTTCAGCGCATAGGTTATCCGTACACGGTTTGCTAGGTAGGCGTATTGATGCGGGCTGAAGCAGATGTTACTCAAGGCAGAAACGATGAAGGGAAGTGTTTGCGAGGTAGATAGGTTGACTGCGACCGATATGTGGACATCGCGTGCTTAAGGGGAGCTTACTCCAGCAGCGTTCGTGCGACTTGTGGTTTGCAAGATTAAACGAATGGCAAAAGCGTGGGCCACCTTCTTGTCACCATCCATACTTGTTGAACAAGGTAACGCGAGCAGCGTCTCATGCGCGGAGTTTAAGGTAGCGGCGCGCGCACACTGTGAGTGGCCCGTAGGCTTCGGTCACAGACCTCGGCGAGGCAGCAGTATGTGCGCTGGCAGCTGTCTTCCCCTAGCTCAGCGCAGTTGGTTCAGGCTTCGGTCACAGGCCTTGGCGAGGCAGCAGTGTGTGCGCTGGCAGCTGTCTTCATTTATGTCAGCGCCATTGCTACAGGCTTCGGCCACGTCGCCGTAGAGCGGCGCAGTTGATGTCGCTGTCGGATACTCCGTCGAGCATGTCTTCGCGGTAGCAGGCTGTTGCCACGTTCCGCACAAGCAGCGTGAAACAGGGGCACCCCGCACAAAAGAGCGCGAAAGATAAAAGGCTGTTGCCACGTTCCGAACCAGCAGCGTCAAACAGGGGCACTCCGCACAAAAGAGAGCGAAAGATACATAGAGGGAGAGACAGATAAGAAGAGAGCAAAGGTGTAAAGGTGATGCAGATAACTTCTTCCCATCCGCGAGTTTCAGACGCATCGCTCAGGCTCGGACGCAGGCGAACAAGACGAAGATTCCGTTGATGGGCGGGCTCGCGCCTCAGACTGAGCCCGTGTGCAGCAGTTGCAAGAGTGCTAGCAAGCGCGCGAATCACCAGCAGACAGTGGCATGCAAGCGCAAGCCGTGAATGGGTGGCTCGTGTTGGCTCAACGTGTCAGAACGACTTGCCACGGAACGGCTTTTTAGGTGCACGAACGGAACGTGTCTAGTGGGAGAGCAAACAGCTCATCAGCAGCATGGAGATGGCGATGCGCTACGCGGTGGCGTTCTTGGTCGGAGTGGTCATGGGCGCGATGGCTGCGGGCCCGCAAGTGCGCGGCGTTGTGGCGCGCGGCAAGGTTTTGAAAGTGAAGGGCCGCCGCCGCGGCCGAAGGCAATGCGTGAGGGCAGTTCGGCGCCACGCAGCGATGGCGGGCGTGCTGGGCACGCTGATGTTGCTACCAACAGTACAGGGGCTTCTGCTGGCCTGCTGCAGGTACCGCCAGCGATCGTGGCTTGTCTTGGCATTGCGGTTGCTGGATGGAAGTCCTTCTTGTGGGGCAAGAGGACGACCAGCTGGCAAGGATGTTCTGGCGCCAGGCAAAGTTATGCGGTGCGGGGTGGCGCGGAAAAGCAAGAACAAAGGCAAGAGTGCAAGCTTGAGCGCGGAGAGGAGCAGTTCGAAGGCACAGGCCTTTGCAATGCGGGCAACACATGCTACATGAATGGCGTCCTACAGGCTCTCTTCCATTCCAAGCAGTTATGCCTTAGGCTGCAAACACATGTTGCGCAGAGGAAGTGCGCGGCCGACTGCGCCACATGCTTGCTTTGGCAAACCAACGAACTTCGACTCTTTGGCCAAGCGGACCGTGCGACCATGGAGATGTGGAAGCCTTTCTTGCAAGCAGCTGGGCTAGGTGGCGGTGAGCAGCAAAGTGCTGCGGACTTTGCCATGTCGTTGTGCTCCAAGGCGCGGGGCAGCAAGCCGGTTGTGTATAGCGCCGGTAAAACCTTGCGAAACAGGAAGGTGCAGTTTCCCAAACACACTGGTAGACAGGGCGCGCGAAGAGTTGCTTGCGGGCACACGGGGTGTCTTACACGGGGTGTCTTGTTTTTGCGGGCCCTTTCGTTGGGTTGCTCCACAAAGGACGCAGGGAAACTGCAAGTTTGAGGGACTTTAGCATTGAGATCCCGAGGTAGAGGACACTGTGAAAGGGTGCTTCGGAATGCAGGTGCTTCGGCAGCAGCGCCACAAGTGCAGCGTGGACACCTGCAGGAGCTACAATGTCGCGCACAGCACGGAGATGACCGAGGCTTGGACAGTTCTCCTTGTTGAGAACACGCAGCGCAGTCGCGCCACTGCACAGGTGCTGATACAGCGCACGTTCCAAGGCCAGTTGCTGCCGCAAGCCTTGAGGTGTGATGCTTGTGGGGGCCAGAAGGACGTTCTTCAAGAGTCCAGGCCTTTGTCAGCGCCAGAGGTCTTGATTGTAAGTTTCCCTCGAAACGGAAACGGCCACGTGGACCCGCACACAGGGCGATGGTGCAAGAATGAGCGCGAGGTGGACTGCACAGGGCCAGTGGAAATCAACGGCACCTTGTACAGGTTTGTAGCATTAGTGGAGCATATTGCTTTAGATTGTGGTGATGCTGAACAGGGGCACTTTGTGACATGGACCATGGAGGGTGGTAGCTGGCTCCGGTACGATGACACTGCGGTGACACGAATGTCTGCTTTGCCGAAGAAGGTTGCCAAGAGCGTGGTGCTGGCTGTGTACGAGACTTGCGTCGTGACTAGCTTTGCGACAGAGCAGGCTGCGACTGGGTCAGTTGCTGATATGACACCCACAGACCCTGCAGCCAACGCGGAAGAGAATGCAGCAGGAAGCATTGCCCCCGCAACGACAGAGCTGGCGTCCACTGTCCTGGACTCGCAGGCTGGGGAGGCACTGCAGTCAACAGCAGGGGTGGACGCAAAAGCGGAGAGCCTTGGCTTGCAGACCTTGCCCTTTGCGGAAACCGCTGATGGCACCCTGGAGTTCGAAAGGGATGTGGTCGCTGCCTTGTCCATCTTCCAAGCCGGTGAGGATGTAGCTGCGTTTCTCGCGAACCTGCCGGCTTACAGCGTGCGATCCTTAGCGGGCTTCAAATTGCGAGGGCGGTCGACGTTGGGGTGGGGAATTGTAAGAATGGTGCGCATGGCTGCCTGCTCGCAGGGTGGAACCACACGAAACTGGGTAAAGAAAAAGCATTCAGAGTGTTGCTTGCTATGTGCTTAGGCAGAGATTTTGGCAATGGAGCAAGCAGACGTGAAGGAGCAGTTGCCTGCTGTGATTGCCGGGTTTGAAGCTGATGAGTTTGGCGGGAAGCAGGCGGTGGAGCTGCAGTACCCGCTGTGGCGGACAAGTTTTTACCCAATCTTGGTCCTCATGGAGGCATGGAGTCGGAGCACTGGCATGCCGACCGTGTTCTACTACGATGCTTTCTGCGCGCTTCTAATGGGTCTGCTCCACAAAGAGATCTGCGTGGATGTGGCGGGCTACCCGTGTCGCAGCCGATACTGGGCCATTGGCACAGCGCGCCCTGGAAGCGGGAAGAGTCCGGCAGTGGACCCGATGGTTGAATGCCTTCGCAGCGTGTTGCAAGAGAATCTGCACCTCGCAGCTGGATGTGGCTGGGACAAGTTTCATTTGTTAGGTCCGGGCACGCATTGTGCGGCTGTCGACAAGCTAAAGGTGACAGATGGCTACGCCACGCTCATAGCTGGTGAAGGCGGCCCTTTGCTCTGCCCATCCTATCCTCAAAATGGCACTTGGAATCAATCCACATCAACTTTTCCAGGTTCTTGGACAGCGCTACAGCCATTGACCGCAAGGCCAAGAAAGAGTCGGCGGAGGACAAGGTTGTGCCGGTCAAAGGTGTACCCTTGCAGAAGACCAACGTAACCTTTGCTTTGCTGCAGCAGCTGTCCGTGTGGCAGAACTGGTGGGTGGCTAGCGAGGTTCGTAGCCAAATTGGTTTGCTGCAGCGGTGCATGTTCTCATTCGGAGCTCTCCGGGATCCAGGCCCGCCTCGCCTGCAGGGCTTTGAGAAGCAGGTGGTGATGCCCATTCTGCGCCGCATCTTTCAGTCTGTGCTGAAGTCAATAGGTTGCAAGGCGTCGATGGCTATAGATGCGCCTCCAAACGCACTTTTTTTGGAGAGACGTTGGCAACTGGACTGCACAAGGCGCCTTATTGGGTTAGCACAGTGGCTCTTTTCGGAACTTTGATGGAGGAGCTGTGGCCCCTTGCGTGTGGGTGCCTGGGCCGCACTCACGTGCCGTAGGTAGGGTTCGGCTGGGAAAAGTGTCTATAGCTCAGGACCAAGACAACCTTGCCAACGTGGAGTGGCCAGCTGAGCGCGGAGGGGCTGAAGATGGCCACACTATGCTTTCAGGAGAGATTTCTGTACGGCTTGGCTGTCTTGGAGGTGGATATGCGCAAGCAT